TTCGTGGGCTATATTTGGACATTTACTAATTTTTGGCTAAAAATTGCTAATCACTTCCTTAATTTGGCTAGAGTAGTAATTACCCCAAAAATTAACAATTAAGCTTTCATCCTTTAATAGCTTGAAGATCCACAATTTAAAACAGTGTGCAGTAGAAAACAATAACATGCTATTGATGTGAGTCAAAAGTCAAAACAGCAAGAAGATGGTTCAAATAAAAGGCAACAACATTAGTTTAACAAATTATAATCACAACACCAATAAATAGTTGCTGAAAACATATAAAATAAAAAAAATCATCATAAAAAATAACAAAACAATCAAAAATCATGTAAATAGGATAATAGACCCATTAACCTTGATCTAAATCTTCCTAATTTGTTGTTTAAAATTAATATAACAATAAGATAAATTATATAAAAAAAACATATTTTTGGATTTCAAATATCCGAAATATCTTAAAATAAAACACAACTTTATAGTAAGAAGATCAAATCAACAATAGATCCGAATTTGGAACCTATCGAAATTTGATGAAAATTTTAAGAAAACTTCCATAGTCAATCATGACTCATGTGCAGAAATGAAAACGCGAATCCATCAGTAAAACTACTTAAACGAACAGCTACAAGAAAGATTCGTACATAAAACACAATCGATTACAAAAGGAACAAAAAGTAATTGGGAACTAGGGTTTTCAATTAGATGAAATAACGTAAATTAGATCTGTCGTATGTCAAATTAACTCGATTCCAAACAGAGATTGACGAAGAAACAAAACAAGTAGTAAAAAATTGAGAGAATTATACCGTGATGAGCGTAAATATAAGCAGCACGCCATGAATATATGTGATCTCCTAGTTTCAGACTCTCTCTATCCACTCTGCATTGGGAAAATCAAGTTTCTTCATCAAATTATTCACCCACATATTCGTGGAGCTGAATTTGAAAATTGTTGAATGTCGTACACGTAATTGTGAAGCTGAATCTGAAGATTATTGGAAAAGGCCTTTACCTGTTAGAGAGCAAACCCATCTTTTCTTCTGAAAATGGTGATCATGGAACCCTTCATGTTTATTGTTCTCAGAAAAAGTTAAAGTGTCCTTTACAAGATTAACAAAACATTGAAAGTTAAAGTCTTAGTCTTAAAGTAATGAATATATTAGTATATATAAATGGTCTTTAAAAGTAATATCTTTAGCCCTTTTATTTTATAATTCGGATAGGTCTTAGTCATTTCAATTTCTTGCTTGAGTGCTCTTTATGGGTTCATTTTGTGTCATTTGGTGTCAATTTTATATAAAATTACTATTTTAGTCTTATTAAATATATCACCGCTTTTTATTTTAAATTTTAAAATTATTTAAATCGTTTTTAAAAAAAATATATAAACATTTTTTTTTTGCAGAAAACGATCTCAATATCTTAAAAGTACTCAAAACAGTTTTGTTTAAAAGGGATTTTAGTGGATAATCATAAAATTTTATATATGATTACATAAGATAAGCTATCACAACGTAACAATGATCTTTATAATATCTCAAATCCTCTAAGCTCCGGTCTCTAGTCACTTGAATACATGTCAAAATTATATGTTAGGCATGAGGAATGTCTTAGTGATATCATGATTTCATCATGTTTGTAGTTAAGGAATCACTCCTTCATTGACCTATGATATATCTTTAAAATCTTATGAAAACTCCTTGAAATCATTCAAAACTTTTGTATAAGAAATCGTACTCTTTACTCATTTGAAAAAGCATTTAGAAATCTTATAAATCTTTTGTTAATCAATGTCTCAATTCTTATATCTTTAAATAAATTCTTTTCGTCTTTTCTCTTTAAATCAATTTGAAATCTTTAACTTCTTTTATAAACTCTTATTCTTTTCTCATTAAAACACTTAAAAGATATAAAACTCTTTTTATTAACTTTATACTATTTTGTTGGAAATGGTGTCCGTAGTCATTAACTGTTTTGGTAATATTTCCAATAATAGTATGTTCATTTTAGATTGGCCTAAGAATCGAAATAGCATAAGGAAATAGAGATTAATAATGTATTAATTTATTAAGAAATTAATAAATTAATTTGAAATTATTTGATAAATTAATTAATTAAGAAGGTTAAATTTTAATTAATCCAATGAATTAATTGAAATGTTCTAGAACCCCCTGTAAAGAGGGTGGACGGTTTTGCATATCCCTTTGATAAAGATATGACAAGTTTGAAATAGGGAAATGATTATGATAAAACCTTAGAGTATGTATCCTTCTAGAGTACTCTTCGACTACCTATAAATAAATAGACTGATAGGGTTAAACCCTAGAGGCTAATTAATCCTTCAGAATTTCGTCCCCTCTTTCTCCTTCTTCTCCTTGGAAGAAAATCATAACCCCTCTCCTAGGGTTCGGTGATTTTCGATTAAACCCTAGATTGGTTTAATTCTTTCTTGCTTTTGGTGTTGTGGGTTTAATTTCATTAAAGGGATTCTTATTTGGATCCTTCATCTTGCAACTAAGTTGGCACGTACGTATATCACAAGGGAATCAACAAGAGGTTAGTAAATATCTTCTAAAGTCGTTTTTCAAAGTAGGGTGCTATAATAGTAAAACATAGATCTTTAGGTTGTATGTGTACTTAGGTATATCAATTTTGATTTTTATGCTACCTATGTAATGTGTACTTGATGTCAACAATCCCCAACAGTGGTATCAGAGCCTAACTGTTTTGGTTATGGTACAAAACTTTGTGAAAAACAAAAACCAAAAAAAAACATGTCAACTGCAGGTGCGATGTGACTATCGGGTTTTCGGGATTTTTACTAGTTTTGAAAATATGGGGATAAACCTCAATTTTAAAATATTATTTGAACTGGATAAATCTGAATATTTAAATTTGATAATTAATTTGGAGTAATATTTAATTGGAATTAAATTTGAATATTAATTAATTATATTTTAATGTTATTTAAACCAGATTAAAATTTGAATATTATCCTGAATTTTTTCTAATGAGAAAATTAAATTAGAAAAGTCAAGAACGTAAATCCAAAAGCTTAAATATGATATTATTTATTATACGTAAAATGTTAATACCACATGTGTCCTCACATGTTAATAATAAAAGACATTGTCGTTGCATCAAGACTAGACTCACTCGCTCTAATACACGGTTTAAGGAGGTCTCTTTGATTCCTAATGAAGTCGGTTTTTAATATGCTTCACACTTACCTCCCTCATCACCTATAGTATTTTGAGAGTGGAGTTACCGAAAGGGTTCAATTAGATTTTGTCTTTCAAGATTAAAAGTATTAATCAAGTAATAAAACAAAATAATCATGTTTTATATAATGTGAAAACGTGAGTCGTGTGCTTCCCATGAAAACACACATTTTGGTTATATTATAATGATGGAGTGTGTGTGGTTAACCGGCACACCATTTGTGAGAATATAAATTTAAATGATGAGTCGCTCATGAAATTATTCTGTCGATGGAGCGTGTGTAGCTAACCGGCACATCAATATTAGAATAATTTTATGTCAAGGTTCAAGCGGTTTTGCATGGTTAATTCACCATTTATTTAATGGCTTGCGGCATCCTTGTAACGACCCAAATTTTACAAATAAAATTTTCATTTTTAATATAGCTAAAATATTGATACCATTTATTTCAAACATTCCAAATCATCATTAAGTAAAATAATTATCAGAGTTTGTCCCAAAACCATTCATTGCGGAAATCATAGGTGTGTGCACTGCGATCAATCCGAGCCCTTCATTTCCAAATCGATGCAACCTGAAACCAAAACTGTAAACAGTAAGCACAAAGCTTAATGAGTCCCCCAGAGCATACCCCACACACAATCCACATAACACATATTGTATTAGCTGTAAAACACTATCTCTACCGTTATCACATATCAATCAGCTATAAAAGCTACTCTACCACATATCACATATCAAATAGCTATAAAAGCTCTCTCTACCATGAGCACATATCAATTAGCTATAAAAGCTACTTCTGCTACATATCACATATCAAATAACTATAAAAGCTATCTCTACCATTGGCACATATCGATTAGCTATACAAACTATCTCCACTGTTAGCCACAAAGGCTATCTCTACCATTAGCCACAAGGCTATCTCTACCATTAGCCACAAGGCTATCTCTACCATCAGCCATAAAGGTTGTCTCTACCATTAGCCACAAGGCTATCTCTACCATCAGCCATAAAGGCTGTCTCTACCATTAGCCACAAGGCTATCTCTACAGCATATCACGCATACATACATATCACACACCTCTACATGGCAAGTATACCAACTATCATAAAATGGGCCGGACTTGGTGCCTTAGACCCATTGGTATGGTGAGAAGACTCACCTCACAAAGCTGAATCGACAACTGAATTCAGGTATGCCCTATGCTGCTCTTCCCAACTGCCTATAATCAATGAATAATATCTCAGCATAGTCCCATAAATACCCCCAGGGTCAACCCTGGTCAAAGTCAAAGTCTATAGTGAAGGTCAACAGTCCATATTTACTTTGACTCGTCGAGTACAATCAATCACTCGTCGGGTTCCCTGCTTTACTCGCCGATTCGCCGAGTCACCCGAGGGACTCGTCGAGTTCCTTGGTGTGTACGGCCATACACCTCTGACCGTAAACCCTTGGTCGAACACCCTTGGCCGTACACTCTTGGCCGTAAACTCTTGGCCGAACACGAGAAAACCCTATCGACTCACCGAGTCTCTTGCACGACTCGCCGAGTCCCTATTAGTCCATTATGTTTACGGCCTCTTCCAGTGGGACTCAAGG